AATGCTCCATCCCTGGCAGTGTTCAAGGCCAGGTGGGGCAGAGCCTTGGGTGACATGGTTTGGTGTGAAACATCCCTGCCTATGGCAGGGGGTTGGAACTACGTGATCTTAAGATCCATTTCCAACCCAAACCATTCTGTGATTCTAACATCAGTTGCAGGACATCAATATGATTACCAATTCACAGAAAGAGTATATACCTTCCACATAAGATGTACAGATCTACTTCCAGCTGAGTGTGAAGATTCAATTACCCTCCACAAATCCACTCTTTCTGAAGGAGCTATTTAAAGACACAAAAATACCTTGATATTTGTTGTTATATTTAAAAGAGAACATAATATGGCAAAAACAATCAAAAGGTTTCAAAAATACAGTCTAAGAGTAACTTAGTAAGAAGTTTTCCCTTGGGTAATGTTATACCTTTTGTTGTGCCCTAATTCTCTAATTACTACAACTTCTCTCTGTCTATAAGTTTCCTTCTGCTTTCTTTTATTTCTTAAGTTCTAGAGGCGATTTTCTAGGTGTGTTTTATAACTGGCAATTTAATTTATCTACTTATAATTCATTTTGTTGGACATACTTGCTACACTGCGTTTCTGCTACTATCCTGCCTAGCAATGTTCAGTCTCAACTACACTTCATTCCTCCCATCTTCACTGTTTATTCACTCATTTTCTTCCTCAGCCCATATTGTGTGTATCTCCTCCACTCCTTGCTCTTGGCCTTCTGTATTTAAACAAAATTCAAACATTCTCTTTAAAAAACAGAATTCTAACTTCAATAGACTGATAATATGCTAAAAATACAGTTTTCCATTATTAAATCCTAATGCCCTGAAGCATAAGCAAATAAAAGCTTAGGAAACAATTAGCTTACCTTTCTCTTCTGTGCTTGCTTTTTTCGCTCTACTCCATTCACTCCAGAACATTGACACAACACTGATACACCGAATGGCAACTGAATATTCTGTGGAGTCCCACAGACCTGTGAGATTACATGATCCCATTTTCTGTGCAGAATTCAGTGGGACAGTGATAAATTCCTGAATGTACAAGAATAAGCGTTATTCACTATACAATTGCATGCAGATATATGACTTGGGGTTGTTTTTTTTTTAAAAAAAGAAAAACACAAAGGATGTGGTTTTCGTGTTTCCACCTCCCTCCTCTGAAACTCAGTATTACTTGTTTCACATTTCATTTTCCTGTCTAGCATCCACTCATCCTGTAAAGCTCTAGGGTTTGAAAAACTTGAGCCGTAACTAGGTCTGTACTGACTGACCAGTGGCATGAACTGTGTGCAGCTCACATGTGATTCTAGAGCAGCTGTGCTAGCACAGGAAGTGTTGGATAACTGCATTTCCCACTGCTGGGAAGCAACTGGGTACTGCTAAAGCCAGGATCACCATAACATCCTGATACAGCTCCAACTCACAGCAGAAGTACCCCTGCGGAAGCACTTATCACCTGCAGCTTGTGAGCCAGCTAGGTACTTGTTTCTTGGTCTTTTTTTCTGGGCTACAAGGTCTTCCAGCTCTTAACCATATAATGGTGTGGCTGTAGGCCAACCCAAAGATTATCAGCATATGATCAAAATTAAAAGACCAATGAAAACACAGAAAATTCTGGTACCAAGAGAATAAAAAAAAAAAAGAGATAGAATCTTTAAGTGGTGAAGGAAGATGGGAATACGAGAAGTATTCCAAGAATATATTCTTGGAAAAGTAATGACAAGGTAATTTCTTCATCTTAAAAAGAATCCACTCACATCTCACTGATGAAGGCCAAAAGCTTAATTGTTGTTCCAAAACAAAAGGTGAAAGAAGACACAAAAACCAGGAATTGGAGTTGATCCATTAACTCAACTGGGCTGACAACAGCAAGTAGAAGAAAACAACAGGAACCACAGAAATATTTGAGTGTTTGTGTACAGGATTGATATAGTCACTACACCATTATTAATGTCTTCCTTTCCAAACCGCAAAAATTAATCAGTAATTAACAAATCTGCACTACTAAAATTTCAGATGACTGAAACACAAATATGCTAAAATAAATTTTCAAGATAGCTAAATTATAACCAGATCAGCAAAAATACGTTTTAGATTAAGGAAGATTCCCTCTTGGGAGCCAAACTGAAGTAGTTATATCATGTAGATTTACAATAATTAGGCCAAAAAACTACAAGGAAATTCCTGTCTTCCATCATTTGAACCTTCTAACGAAAAGTGAATCAAACTATAACAAGACAAAATCCAGACACCCACTCCGTTGAACACCACAATGGGAAGTGCACTGCCTCATGAAACTAAAAATTCTAGTACGTTCTCATCTCAAGAAACTCATTGTCAAAAATAGAAAACTGCTTCTAGGAGAATTCAGGGATATACAAACCACTGCTAGGTTACAGACTCTTTAGCCAAATAAATAAAAAGGGCTTCAAAACTATTATCAAGCTCCTGAAGAACCTGGCATAGAATTTCAGACACCCCAGACTAGTTTTTAGTTACTTGCTAAAAGGCTGTTAATAATATTGAATTATACTTAGAAGTTTTGTATATGCAAGTAGAAAAATAGGTCAGTAAAAACAGTTCACAGCAAACCATTTGGATTGTTTTGGTACAAATGCTTAAAAGGTCAAGAAAATATCCATCATTTGCTGAAATGATTTTAATTCTTTTTTTCCCATGTATATGCTGACAGACAGAAAAAAACCTCCTATATCTAACTGATGGTTTGAGGCTGTCTTTGTTGGTCACTGCAGTCGGATCAGCTATAGCCAAAGCTATGAATCATGCCTGTCTAAGATCCAGCACAACTAAACTCACTGGATTTTTGTCTTTACTAATCACTGCTACTATTTTCTCTCTAGAGTGTCTGTGAAAAAACGCAGGTAAGTTCTGAGGAAGAAAATGGATGTAGACTGTATTCGATAGAGAAAAAGCAGACAGGTGATTTCTTGTACAAGTGATGATGAACAGATACAATACACAATATTACTGTAACTTCACAAAAATGTGAATGTTTCCAGCATTTCGGAAGGATTTCATATGGATGTAAGTTTCACAAGAACACCTGAGTCCTGACACCAAAGGGATAAACATCTTGAACAGGTCTTTTAAGTAAATATTAGTTCAGTTTCTAATATCCCAGGTGGACCTGCGCCTTCCTGCCCATCAGATCATCCTAAATATTATAACGTGAATCAAACAACTACTATGCCATATCTACAGTAAAGACACGTGCCATGAGAATGTGAGAAGGATGCTAACTAGAAACATCTTTAGTATCAGGAACTTTTTTAAAGCTCTGAGGACTAGTATTAGTTACCCTGATGCTTCTTCTCACTCAAAATTGCTCATCTAATGTATAAAATAGTAAGGTCAAGGCAGACATCTCAGTTCAATTAAATTAAAACCAACAAAATAAAACAAAACAAAAACAAACAAAACCACAAAAAAAACCCAAAAACAAACAAACAAAACCAAGCAAGCAAGCAAACAAACAAACGAACAAAAATCCAAACCAAGCAACCTGGTCTACTCTTACATTTGGAAGAGAAAAATTTGGATGGGGAAACAGTAAGACAGCAAACAGAATCACTTTTATAGTGAGAAGCATTGGAATAGGCCATGTGAAAGAAGCAAATGACTGCTGTTTTTTCCTATAGCAGTTCCATCTAAGCATGAGAAAGACAAACTCAGAAAAATAACTTCGCTTACTTTCCATCTTGCAAAATAATACTTTAATTCACCTGAAAACTAATATATCATTAGTGCATGTTAATCTGATTCAACTGTTGTGGTTGGGAGTAAATGCTGTTTTCAACACCAGAATGTGACAGGAAAACAAAATATTTTGGCTGTGGGTGTAATCCTTTAGCCTAAGGTAAAACCTCAGCCTTTCACAGAAATATATTCAAAAGTATCATATGCACCAAAACAGACACTGACCAAAAGGAAGAGAACAAATCATCCTAGATAGGAAAACAATGACCTGGTTAAAATAACAAGGTTTTAATCATGATTTCCAACTAGTTGTTGCCTTTCTTCTTTTTAGCCTTTTATAACATGAAGAAATTAGCCACAAAGAACCTAACATTCAGAAGGAAATCTACGTAGCTTACCGAAGAGTTTGAATACAAGTTTCTGTATCGAACCTGGCAAATTAAATCTTGTGAAGGGACAATCTTCTCAGGCATTTCCCAGGTTACTGTAAGCAACTGCTTTATACCAGTGATTTTTTTAACTGAAAGTATTTCAGGAGGTTCAAATTTCTCTAGAATGAAGAAACAAAAACATTAACAGGAAAAACACTTCTATAAGAGTTCAGAATTCCTCTGTCTATTTGTGTTTGATCACTATTGCAATAACGCACATCCTATCAGACATCTGCTTAAAAAAATATAGTTAGACATTTCATAGTATGAATACACCACATATAATTTTTAACCACCTCTCAGTAAGACCAAGAAATTGTGGAAAATTGCTGCAGTACCACCAACCAGATCAAAGAATTTTACATGGAAAGGCATAAAAAGAAACCTAACAAGAGACTTGCTTCAACTAAATTCTAAGTATTTAAATTGGGATGAAAAAAATTGGGAAGGATGAAACATTTTATTAAACCCCAAATGTAACTTCAGAGACTTCATGCTTTCAGATAACAATTAAAATTAGATAGCATTTCAAAACTGAAACCAATATAAAATCAAATGAAACCCAAATAATAGTTTCAAAACTAGTATACTGAAAATTTTTTTGCATTATTTTCTACTTTGATTACACAATTTGTTTCAGAGTTGTCTCATGCGTATACTGCAGCAAAAAGAACTGGAGAGGGTGTAGACAGCTCAACATATGCTACTTTATTTAACTTCTTTAAAAATTACCTATTTTTTCCATAGGTATAGGAACACAACCTGATGAGGCTTCACCCAAAATATTTTCAGCTTTCACCTGAAAACAAAAAGAACTACTATATGGAATATCTGGATAATAAAATGAACATGACTCCATTTTGCTTCGGCAGGAGCCCACTGTACTTGGAAGAGTCATCCTTCCTCCTGTCATCCTAAAAAACAAAACAGAAAAATAAGCAACGCTGATTTCACCACTGTCACAGCAGCTTATGAAAAAGTAAGGTTCTAAACAGTATTTAAAATGTAATGGAAAATGAAAGAATCAAGTACTTATGTTTCTAAAATGAGGTCACAAAACAGCAAGAGACTATAAAATCTGTATTTGTAAACACAAATCCCCAGATGTGAGCAATCTAAAACGGACAAGTAACTCTGGATTCTTTCACTGAAACATTATGGCTCCAGAGGTCCCTAGGTTAAACTCTACTGGTATCAAGCAGAACAACACAGGCTTTAACAGTTTTAACCAGGAATTGTTCAATTAGAGGAGGAAGTAATCTTTTTATCCATCCAAAACAAGGATAGTTAGTTACACAGAAAGTTTCTTAGCATCACTTCCAACAATAGTGCCTCCATTCTCCATTTGTGCCTAGGCTCACTCAGCTTTTGACCGAATTGGTAATGTTACTTCAAGGAAATAAGTGAATATCAATTCTGATGTAAACATTTGTCTACTGAATATTGGGTTAGATTGTAACTATTTCCAACCAATACCATCCCCAAATTAATTGAATTTACTGAGGAAATGTCATGACTCCGAACCTAAATGATTCTATGTTTTCAGGGTTTTTTTGAACAGAAATCAGGATGTGAGGGGAAGGCAGCTGGGGGTCTCACTCCAGCAACCCAGTTCCCAATACACTTTATACTTACATTTTTCGGTAAAGAGTATAGTTTGTCCTAAGATTAGTTTCTCTCCCTGAACTCCAGGTGCAGGTAAGTTCAGCATCAAAGTAATAAATGCAGGAAATATTTCCTGGTGTGTCTGGTGGAACTACAATGACAAAGATTTAAAAAGGAAAAAAAAAAGTCTAGTAAAAATAAGTGACTTTTTAGTGTTCAACTATTTTTGTTGGTCAAAAAGCAGATTATGGCAAACTTCACTAAGTGTCTTGCATAGCACTTCATTTTATAACTTCTTTACTGCCCTCAAAACTTCCTACAAAACTAAAATTGAAATCATTCTTTCCCTGGGAGACAGGGAGATTCTCTCCAACTACTTCCTAGAAGTACTTAACTAAGAGGACCCGAAGGTATTTTTACAGTAACTCATTAACTATATTATATCAAAACACTACATACATTGTCCTGAACCAGTAGCTTAAGGCCAGTCCAGAGAGTAAAAGGAAAACAAACAGAAGTTGAGGAAAAGCCATTCTCTGAAAGATAAAACTCTTCTTGATTCCTTCCCAGAATGACTAACCATATATCCTATGAAAACCCCTAGTCTGAGAAGCCTGCACAATCTCAGAGTGCAGAAGACAACTTCCTCGCCAACATACCTATATGACCTTGAAAAGAATACTAATTCTGGACTCTCTTTATCTTATAAACAAGATAGAACAAAGAAAATAATCCTCTGTGATCTCTATAGTCTGAAGTCATCCATAAACATTTGACACCTTCAAAGACTTCTTTGTTTTGGGGTAATGGCTTCAAACTTAAACAGGGGAGATTTAGATTAGATACAAGGAAGAAGTTCTTCACAGTGAGGGTGGTGAGGCACTGGAATGGGTTGCCCTAGGAAGCTGTGAATGCTCCAACCCTGGAGGTGTTCAAGGCCAGGTTGGACAGAGCCTTGGGCGACATGGTTTAGTGTGTGATGTCCCTGCTCATGGCAGGGGGGTTGGAACTAGATGATCTTAAGGTCCTTTCCAACCCTAACTGTTCTATAATTCTATGTTAAAGGAAGACTTCTTCACTCAACAGAAGAAACTGGAATTTAAAGGAAGGGAACAGCGCCCAGTGAAATAAACTGGTTGAAAAAGCCCTCTCTCCAAAACAGTACTTTTCTGTCCCATCTACTATAAGACTGAAAAGATCTTTCTTTTATTATCAAGCTTATGGCACACCTAACTTTGCAAACAGGTAATACCTTCTGCTGGGTTTTATTCCACAGATCTATTTATCTGCATTTATTGCTTCTTTACTAGAATGGGACCCCCAGGTATAAATTACTATAATCTGGACTTAAACTGTTCAGTAAACTAGAGAATTTGTATACATATTTATCCTGTAGCTTTCTCCATAAGAGATGGTAATTATAATTGTGTTGGAACAGAGTATTAAAGAGGAAATTGTTTTCAGAGAAAGCTAACAATGGCTAAACTAGACAAAAGACATAACCAAAGGGACAGACTTGGTACCATCTGAACTCACAGAAAACCTTCACTCACTTCAGCTGGCCAAAAGTGAGGCTTAGAGAGGTTATGGACCACAGTGAGTAAGGAATGCCTGCAATTTCATGCTTTATTTCAGAAAAAAAGGAGATACTTGAACACAGGTGTCTTACAATGCCACAAGCTTAAAAAAAAAAAAAAAAAAAAAAAAAAGGGGGAAAAAGTAGTTATTTTAAAAGTAAAATTTTTACAGTGTTATTTTTTAAAATGTTAAAATTAATCTTTCTGCTTTTCTACTTACAGCCAGACTTAACTTCAGTGTGAACCAAAAGCTGCTCCTCGCCCAAGTACTTAATGAAACATTTCACATGAGCTTTGCTGTAGGTGAAATTACGGATGGTTATACTAGACACAGTCTCGTTCACAATGTTATAGTTTTCCTGAGCGATCAATTCATGATTCAATTTCCAGATGATATGGCTTGCATTTCTGTGAGGTGTGTAGTGTTTTCCAAGAACACAAAATAATTTCAAGGTGGATCCTCTTTCAATTTCAGGAGATGAAGGGAAAATGTCAGCATCTCTGATAGAGTTTTCATCTAAAAACAAAATCGAAGAAATCACATAACCTAATTTCTTAGAAAATACCGGTGGAAAAATGATAACTTATTTTGTTGTCTACAGATCACTTGATTAGTTTTTTTTCCAAATGGAGTTCAAATAAAATGCTCAGTAAGTGACATGAGTCAGATATCGCTGTTTGGAAACTCAGTTCATGTTAATTACTATATTACCATAGGCACTATATAAGAATGATGTTTCTATCCCATCCAGATCAGATTCCTCACAGCTACATGCACTCCACACAAACATGCACTCCCGCAGAAGGAGAGGAATATGAGAGGCAAAGAGAGTGTGGAACTAACTGATCTTCCATCTTCAGCAGTTACCTGTGTCAGCTTAAACTGGTTATGGAACTATCACATAAGAAAACCCCAACAATAGTCACACGTTGTTAGGTGACTTTCTAAATCAGGAATGAGAACATTAGTAGTACTTGCAAAAATATTTGAATAGGTAATACTTTTTTTTTTTTTAATACTTTAAATACAAAAGAAAACAAACACAGGCTATCACGATCACAGTTAACATTCCACAAGCAGAAATCAAGACTGCCATAAATAAATCTTTCTCTACATACTATACACTACATAGACATCACCTACTAACTTCTCTTTTTTAAATTCTTTTTTCCTTTTTTTTTTTTTCCCAGAATTCTTTGAAATTTCATTTGGAGAAGGTCACCTTTTGGAAAACTTTCTTATGGCAAGACAGGTGCTAATAATCAAGTAACATACCTGCTATAGAGGTGCAGAGTAGGATGAACATCCAGATCACACAGCTGAACATTTCCTTTTCAGTAACTATGGGCAGGAAATGCTGTCATAAAATAAAAATAATATACTTAAAGTAAGGATTCCACCTAATACTTCATAATGATTAGTATGAGTTAAAAATGCTATTCAGCATTTCTCACATACATTCAAGTCAAGTATTGCTTTGTCTGTTACTTTCTTGCACAATGGGAGAAGTTTGACGCAGTTTTCCTAAGATCAGCATACACGTTTTATATAAAGACAGAAGCAAGTACACCTGAAACCCTTCTGAGGGCAATCCAATCCACCTAAGTAATTTGCAATCCAAGGACCATGTAAAGAATTGGTAAGAAATACATCTGCATCCACTTGAAATCCAGCCTGCTTAGCCATCTCCTGAGCAGTCACTTAGCAGAGAGAACTCTTTGGAAAAGGAAGGCTGTTGCAGGAGAAGAAATAATCCTTATCTCTTGTGCATCACCACACAATAAAACAATTGTTCAGGAAGTGGGCAACAGTTCCAGTCATCAGCCACCCAAGAGAGGGCAAATGCACATTTTTATCCCAGCTGTCACAGGCACTGGACTTAAGGAACACTTTGCAAAGACAAGGGAAGGCACCTCTCTTTGGCTTGTTCTTTGAAGCTTAACTGCTGTGCAGCTAAGAAAAGCCAAAACTCTGGGGAAGAAGGAAGAAAGCGAAATAGAATGATTTCTTCTAAAGGGACAGCTGAATCTAGGGTTCCAGGGTGAAAATGACAGCAAACACTCCCTTTGCCCAAGCACTGCTGTCATCACTAAAAGAATCACTGAGTGGTTGAGATTGGAAGAGACCTCTGGAGGTCATCTTGTCCAGCCACTCTGCCCAAGCACAGCCAGCCAGAGCCAGGTGCCCAGGAACATGTCCAGATGGCTTTTGAAGATCTTCAAGGATGTGAAGTCCACGAACTCAGGTCAGCCTGCTCCAGTGCTCAATCACCGTCACAGTGGAGAAGTGTTTCCTGGTGGTCGGAGGGAACCTCCTATGTTTCAGTTCATGCCCACTGCTTCTTGTTCTGCCACTGGGCCCCAGTGGAAAAAGCCTGGCTCTCCCCTCTTTGCACCCTTCCTTCAGGTATTAATGAGATCTTCTTGAGCCTTCTCTTATCCATGCTGAATGGTCACAGCTCCCTCAGCCTTTTTCCAGTATGACAGGTGGTCCAGTCCCTTAATCATCACTGTGGCTGTTCATTGAACTCTCTCTAGTATGCCCATATCTCTCTTGCACCAGGGAGCCCACATCTGGACACAGTACTCCAACTATGGCCTCACCAGTCCTCAGCAGTGGGAAGGATCACCTCCCTTGACCTTCTGGTTACACGCCTCCTGATGCAGCCCAGAATACCACTAGCTTTCTTTGCCACAAGGGCACATCTCTGGCTCATGTTCTACCGGGTGTCTACCAGAATGCCCAGGGCAAAGCTACCCTCCCGCTGGTTAGCCCCCTGTCTGTACTGGTGTCTGGGGTTGTTTCTCCCCAGGTGCTGGATTGGGCACTACTCTCTGTCGAGGTTCCTGGCAGCCCATTTCTCCAGCTTGCTGAGGTCCCTCTGGATGGCAGCACAACACTGGGCATATCAGCCACCCTTCCCAGTTCCATGTCATCAGCAATCGTGCTGAGGGTATGTTCTGCTCTATCACCCAGATCATTAGTGATGATGATAAACATGACTGGATCCCATGTTGAACCCTGGGGTACACCACCTGTCACTGGACTCCAGCTAAACTTTTTGTCACTGATCACTGCCCTCCAAGCCCATTTGTTCAGCCAGTTTTCAAACCACCTCATCATCTGCTCATCCAGTCCAGCTTGTGTCTAACAATTCCTGTCTGCAAAACAGCCCAACTCCACCACGAAGGGCAGCATATGTTGCAACCCAGACTACTCCTTTGGCTTCTAAGTAGGAGATCTGCCTATGGAAAACAGAGGTTCCAGATCCCCTTCAGCAGATGAGGGTCTAAATTCCCAACATTCCTCCTTGCTGGACAAGTAGCTATAGCTGCGATGTTCATAAGCAAATTAGGCGTTACTATTGCTGCAGTCCCTGCTTCACATTAGGATTTCAGATTCACTTGAAGGGCTGCTGGAGTTTCAGTTCTCCGTGCAAATCTGTATCTCAGGAGGGCTCTAGGTGGGAGGCAAGTGCTATCTCCCTGGAACAGGTACTCCAGCAGTTTTCAGACCAAATTAGGCATCTCCTCTGCAGGACAGGTTCAGGCAATGTTGGGAAGTGGGTGTGCACCAGGTCACTGTTTGCGACAGAGATCTATGTGTGGGATGCAGGCAGAAGGGGTTCACTCTATGTTATGGTCCTCTCCACAAAAACTTCCTGGTTTTGCTACAAGATAAAGTTTTACGGTAATCTAAAAGAGAAAACCATAATAAAAATATACTGTTTTGTGCTCAGTTTCTGCCAGAACTCATCTTAAACGTTCTTTTCAGGCTCTCTCAGGAACTGTTTGATAAACTTGGAGGCTATGACAGTGCAAAACAGGGAAAAAAAATTAAAAGGACACATAGGATAAAAAGATAAACGAAAGAGGAGTTTGCCCAGTGACATACTCCTAAAATTCATCTGCAGCAAGATGTGTACCACAGCAAGAAACAAAGCAATTACAAAAAGAGAACATATTGCAACTTCAGTTACCTAGGGTAACTTCTTGTTCTCAATGCAGCGAAAACAAATTACACTATTGATGGCAATAAACATGAAGAACATTAAGAAATTGTTCCAAGTATTCTTCACTGCATATTTTAAAATATTAAGCTATTTTAAAATATTAGAATAAATATTGTTCATAGCAATACTGATGAAATACTAGAAGTTTCACTCTGTTAAAGCTAAGAGTGTATTTTGTAAGCATTAAAAAGTGTGGGTTTATCCTTATTATACTTTTTTAAGTTTAAGAAAGACATCAAAGTGAAAAAATCAGTCCCAAAGTCATGGCTACAAAAAAACTACTTTCTGTTCAAAACCAGAGAAAAATAATAATTACGAATCGAAAGAAGGCTTTGCCAACTTCATAGGAACACACATCAGCGGTTGCTATACAGCTGTGGTAAACACCAGTGTAACCATTACTTCATTATCTGGGAAACTAGTAGTTAAGAAAACCAACACGCTTTGAAGGTAATTATCAGCATTAACGAAAGCAAGCAAAATAACCAACAGCACTACAGGATTATCTGCCTAAACAGAACTACCTGACAGGAGGAGTCAAAGAAAAATCAGTAATGAGTTACAGATGCCACATTGGCATAAAAACGTTTTTAAAACTTAAAAAAGTAAGTAATTGTATTAGTCAGCTAAAATGTTTTTACAACAGCTCTATGAATACCGCTTTAATCTCGGAGCATACATTCATCCATGAGAGTACCAAGTCTTCTGTGTGGCATGTAAAGATTAGGGTACATATAATTGTTTAAAGGAAAGAGCTTAAGGCACTTAATATAAATAACAAAGCTCTATTCTTTCTTTTCTGTAGGCTCAACTACTAGCAACATGTAATAAAAGCTCACTGGGTATTCAGTATTGTAAAGACCTTGTGAAGTAAACCCAACAGTTCAAAACAGAGATTTTCCACTTGTCTGCATCAACCATGGGAATACAAGGCTTACATATTATGGTTCTGACTAATTAAAGAATTTCCCCTAGTGTTTGACTTCTTCCTTAGAGTCACCGAACATAACTACACAGTAACAAAAACCACTAAAAGCTGACATAGATCAGATAACAGTATGTCAAGAAACAACTGCTTCCAGGTCATACAGACAGCAGCTTAATTTCAAATGTATGCAACTGCAAAAGAATTGAGCAAAAAGAGAGAAAAGCAATGTCACCACAGAGCAGCTGTCAATACTGAGTGTGATTACACTGCTCTAAGTGCTAATAGGTTTTCCTACTTCGTGGACTACTCAATTAAAAAAAAAAAAAAAAAATGAAAACAAACAGCTAATGGGTCATTGATTCTTTCCATCCTACGAAAAAATCAATTTACAAAACATTTCTAATAAAATTGACAGTCCATTTCAATAGAAGATCCACTGCAAAAAAAACAAACATACAAACAAATATGATTTGACACACACACTGACTTTATCTGAGAGCAGCTACACTCCTTCTGTACATTAAATTATTGTACAGATCTTTGCTGAGGGTTTGTGAGAAAAATGAAGAGACACCATGAGCAGAACCATGGCTCTGGTTAAAGCATAGGACACTTCAAATGGTGCAAAGAATCTAAGAGGGAGATGAAGAACGATCTGTTAAATACAAAAAATAAAAAAAATAAAGAAAAAAAGGAAAAGCCTGTTAAATTTATCACTTCCCACTGTCTTTTTGGTTACAACTTGGCAAAGCTCTAGCAGTTTATGCTGATAGTCTACGTATGCTGGTTGGCTATTTTGGAGGGGACACGAGACAGAAGAGGCTGCATTTCAGCCAAAATAGTTCAGCTGTTTCCAAGAATAATGAAAGTACTTTTTTCTTATGATATTCCTCTGAGTAGATCCAGCAATCCCACGCACTATTTTAGCCAGGAATTGGAACTCAGAAGCATTAGGAAATCATAAAAACATCTTTTTAATTGTGCATGTGCCAAACCAGCTCACATCACCACAGCAGAGCACAGCACTAAAGGGCCGTGCATGGCAAATCTGGCATGCAAGTTACAAGCCCTTGAAGAATTCCAGTTCCACATGCTCACCAGAAAGCTTAAACAGCCAAAGATTCCATCCACACTGAGTGAGCAGTCCTCATCCCGTAACCACACCTACCCTTTTCTCCCTATTTTCGCTCCTCTTGTGCTCATCACACTGTAAGTCACTTCCACTTGCTAAAAGTGGTGAAATAGAAGAGAGATGGGGGGAGAGAGACCTCCATGACATTTCTTCCCAGCTGTGAGCTGCTAACTTAGTTCAGTCCTGATGCTACATTGCACATCCTTCTATTTTCTCCAATACCAATTAGCAGCCAGTTATTTGACATGCTAGCTG